TTCCGGATCCAGCAACTCTAACAGAAGCTTTGTTGATCTCATCAATTGTCAACCCTTCAACTTTCAGCAGTTCAGTGTACAGTTCTTCTTCAACTTTCCCATAAGAAGAATCACGACAAGCCTCAACAAATGATTTGCACATATCCTCAGAGGCTTTGATCAAAGTTTTAGAAGATTCCTTCACTGTTTCAGACAACAATTCTAAAGCATCACGACTTGTTCTATGCCTCTACCTAGATGTGGACTGCAGTTCAGTTGAAGAAACAGATGACTGATCCTCATTTGGATCCACCTCAACATCTTGTTCAAACATAGGGTCAATACTTAAAATAGTTACAGCACACATCATATTCACAAATACTGTTCGAACAGCAAGTAAAACCATTAGCAACCCGAGCATTAGATGTAAAATCTTCTTCCTCATTATCTTGGTCCATATTGTCTGCTCCTGTTAACAACCCATATACGTTTAAATAACTATATAAAAACATGGAGGCAGCAACCATTCAACACAACGATACAGAGCAATGGTAGGATATAACTTATACTGATCAATAAAATTTACGTCTTCATCAGACAAATTTATTATGTTAATGGTCTCCAAAGGTGTCACTTTCATTTCACTATACACAGTAATTACATTAGGATACTCTTATTAGCTATCTAAGGCGGGGAGGAGCCCTAGACACACACAGAGTTACCCTCCTTAGACTAAAATACAGTGTCCATGTGCTCCGTCCTGCACGCGCTCCACCTCACAAGTCTCTAACTTTATTTTTATCTGAAGCAAGACTCTAAAATTTAACAATTGCAAAAGGAGACAGAGTTCTATAAATGAGCATGCTTTGGTGATTTTACAAAACAGAAGATCTATCAATGGCCGTCAAATCACGTCCATTCCCTTTCACAAGCACTCATTTGACTATTTTCCTTTCACTGATACATTCCCTCAAATTTTCATGCATAAAGAACAAAAGGGCAAAAAAAGAAAACAGAGAGAGAGAGAAGAAGTGCGCGCTCAGAGGGAAAGATAAAACATATGGGTAGAAACCATTTGCGACAACGGAAATCAACAAAGAAGCAGAGGAAGAAGTAAAAGACACCACAGTGGAAGAGAACGAAAAACCAACTCACCTCGCCTGCGCTGGTAAATCCGGTGCCTGTCGCCCTCTCCGTCCGTCGTTCGCCCTCGTGCTTCGGCATACGCGGCCGCAGGCTTTTGGTGGCTGATGGCGCGAGCTTTTCAGGGTGAATGTATTCTTTTTCTAAAAGAATGCACTGTCACTAAATCCATGTACCCAACGAACCAAGTCATCTAAGATCAGACAAACGGGTTTCACCCAAGAGAGGGAGAGACAAAAAGGATAACTATAATTTTAAAAATGATTTTTCAGTATATAAATAAATATATGAAAAAAAATTTATCTTATGAGTGAAAACAGTACATTTTGTGATTACGAGCATTGTACTTATTAAAAAGCTCCTGTGTCAACTAAATATGAGTCAAACCATACTCTTAAAATTACTTTTTAGGTAAACCAAAAACCACACTCCTTTCTTTTTGCTATTCTCTCTCTTACTACCATTTATTGTTGCCAAATATTTCTTACCATATTTTGTTAGAAAAAAATTTAGATGAGTTAAGTATTAGGGACTTCTAATAACCTTATCAATAGTGAGTTAACTCCTGAACTAATTGGACCAATGTTTGTTTTGTAATAACAGTCACTTTTTTAATAAAACTCATTTTTTTATTTAATTTGATTTAAAAATGTAAGCCTAATAATATTTAGTATATTTAATATTTTATTTTTATTTTTATTTTTCCCATTTGTATAATTAATTTTTATAAATAATTAATTCATTATAATAAATATAGTGTTGACTTTTTTGACAAGGATACATTGGAACAGTTTTACAATTTTTCAAATTTTTATTAGGCTTATATTGTGAACCGAAAAAACTAAAGAGAATTGTAATCAAGTCCCACATAAGAGAAATAATTACTAAAAAGTTCAATAACAACATAAACAGTCTGTAATGATATGTTCTAAAGTGGAGAATGACAACATCTGGAACTTATTTTATAATTTTTTTTGGGACCTCATTATAATTCTCCCAAAAAAACAAAGTGCCGCCTGCTTTTGAGGATCCATTCAGAACATTGGATTTGGAAGGTAGTGAGCATCTTCAACTATGCAATTTGTGTTGTGGCATTGGCGGGGAAGTAGATGAAGTACCGTTGCCTTGGATCACTTCACCTACACCTTCCATTATTATTTATGACATCTCCGCTTGCACAAATTGTATGGTTCAATTCAATATTATGAACCATTGTCTAATTTCTTGCTAAGTCGAGGCTAGCAGTTATAAAAGTTAGTTTGACTTTTAATTTTGATCTTAAACATAGGAGAAAAAAACAACTGAGCAACTGAGCACAAGTATAAGATACAAATAACAAAATTATGTAGAGTATTTATATATTACTTTCGATTCTTAATATTCTTTGGTTTATGTGAATTGATTAATAATATCTTATACTATTTTTGGTTCTTAATATAAGAGTTAGTTAAATATTTAATTTGGTTCTAAATATAAGATTTCAATCCACTTAGTATTTTCTATTTATTCACTTTTTTCAAGATAGTCTTTATAATAGTTGCATATGTTAAATGTTTTATCAAATGATGATTTTAACTAATACACATGATTAATAAAAGTATTTTAGAAAAGATAACATCTATTTATTACAAATAACTAATTTAACTAATTTTCTTAATATATTCAAATTAGTCAACTGGCTTCTATATTAAGGATCATAGGTAGTATTTTGGACCAAAGGATGTGAATATGAGTAGATCATTCCCTAATTAAAAAAAATTCTTTTATGAACAAGATGAGGGAGAGGTAGAAGGGGGGTGGAGGGGGAGATTGCTAGTACTCCCTTTGGTTCATAATATATGAAGTTGGTTAATTTTTTTTTTTTTACATACTAACAAAATAGAAGTCTGATCGTTAAGTGTTCTAAAATGATAAAATTTTCCTGTTTCACCTCTAAAAATGATAAAGTTCCATTTTTATTATTTTTCATCTCTCTCCTATACTTAACATGGGTGTAAATGAAAAAATCACATTAATTATCTTGATAACGTCTTATATTTTGAATCACAATTTTCTTATATGGCCAACGTCTTATACTATGAATCGGAAGGAGTAGTTTTTTTTTTAAAGCATAAATATCTTCTTATTAAAGACAATTCTATTCCAGGTGTTATCAGATATTAAATATGGACACATCAGCGGAGATTTGAATCTTAATTTATCATACTGTGAGAGACTAATTTTTTCTACTAGATCTAATTTGTGTTTGTAATAAGAGAGAGTAGTTGAGAAGAAAGGTTAAAGTGAAGCCAGGTTTTTCTACGGCTTAAAAAAATTTGGTTTATGATTATGGGCCTTATAGAGTTATAGTTATGCACTCGGCCTAACAGTGGTTAGAATTAACTTTTGTTAGGTCTGTTTAATTACCTAACGGCTGTTAAGCTTACTGGAGGTTTGCCCACGTGGCTGTATATTAATTAGGTTTTTGATGGTCCCTGAGTGGAACTTGCATTGTCCTCGAAGTCTAAGATGGGTAATAAATTCCATTGATTTTATAACTACTCGCTCCCACAGTAATGATCCTTTTAATTGGCCTTAATGATAATGAGAGAACTCATGAGCTTGGCTGGATAGAATTGGAAAGAGATACAATTTTGATTCACGAGAGTGTGTGTATATTTTGAAATTAATTTCAGCGGCAAAATTAATTGGAGAATTTCAATTAAATCCAACTGAAATACCAAAATTCTAATTTTGATCTATACTTTTAACAAATCTCTAATTAGGCCAAGAGGTTTAATTAGAGATCTTTGAATGTTGTCAAAAGTCTATAATACCCCTATGTAGCTAACAAGAAAAGGTTAAAGCTTAAAGGTAAATGTAGGCCTGATTTTGGTTTTAATTAGGGAGAAGGAGAATTACAATGAGATCTTAAGAAAAAAAATTACAAAATAAGTCCTAGAAGTTATTATTTTCTATTATGCAACTTGTCATTATAGACCGCTGAAATTGTTATTAGGACTCTTTTTAACAATAATTTTTTTTCTTGGGACCTCGTAATTTTCCTTTTTAATTATTTCAGCTAAATTTAATCAACATTTTTTCTTTATTTTCATTTTTTATTTTTTGTAAAACAAATAAATATTTATGTAGATATATTTAATGGTTCAAATAAAATCATTTTTCAAAAACTGAATTGTCAAAATAAAAACATAAAACAATAAAAACACGTTGGTGAAAACTTTTAAATCTACTGCCAATTTGTTTATGGAAAAATAATTTTTATTTTTGGTAAAATATTGAAAGATGATACCGTGTATTAGAGAATCAAAAGTGAGAAAAAAAAAACAGAATAATAATCCATACTTCTACCGGTTCTAAATGAAAGATCCATTTTATAATGTAAATTATAGTACAAAATGTGTCATATATTTTAGGATCAGAGGAATATATCCCAAAATCACTTTTAATTGAATAGAGTTTTGAGATAATGCCATGAATCTGAAATTTATTTTTAAAAAAATGCACATTCATTCTCAATTAACAGTAATATATTTGTGGGTACATGTATATATTTGTCTATATATATAATTTTTTTAAAAAAGAAATAAAAAAATATTTTTTGTCGATAGGTTATATATATAGATAAATTATAAAAGATTTTATATATAGATAAATCGTATATTTTTCAAAAAAATATTTTTGTATTATAAATTATATATTAAATATTTGTATATAGATAAATGTTTTTTCGTTTTATGAAAAAAAGTAAAAACATAAAACAAACTAGAAACAAAGAAAAATGTTAATTAAATCCAGTTTAAATCATCGAAATCAAAATCAAGCTTATATTACACACACACACACACATATAGACACACACAGACACGAAAATAATATGAAATCATCTGATTATATGATAAATAAGAAATCTAATTATTAACCCAATAACCAGAAAATCCAAACCGAGAGAAAACCCAGCAACACCTTGGAAACTAAATGTTTATTTATTAAGCAGATTGATAATAAATAGTGCTATAGCAGACAACCGAAAGGCATTGCTATTTCTCTTCGTTAATGGCGAAACGACACTGTCCTTTTCCTTGAATCCATCTTCGCAAGTGGCGGAGGCATCAAGGACTGAACTTACTTTAACATTACAATCTGCATACAGCTTGGCCTTGTAATCTTTAATGGCGTCTCTGAGGGTAGGGATGGCATCTGAATAAACCTCAAGGCAATCATCTAAGCCTTCTCTGATAAATGGGTCTATCTTCTTCTTCTTCGTCGTCTTCAAGAGGTTCTTGATATGAAACCTAGTTTCTGTAACGTTGTGCCTGAGAAGTCTCAGAGAGATGAAGCCAAGATCACGAAGATTTCGTACACGGCGGCTATGAGGATCTGCTTGAAGAGAAGTTCTGCAGAATCTGTAGCTTACATTTGGATCAGTTCTTGAGAGATTCTTGCAGGTTTGAGCTATGAGATCGACATGGTTATTATTATTATTTGCAGAAATGAAGTGGGAAGAATAAAGAAAGAGGATTAATATGAGAGAGAAGGGATAGAAGAAGGAAAAGAAGCCCATTTGTTTGTTTGTTTGTTTCGGTGTATCATATTTTCTTACACTTTCTTACGAGGTTCATATATATAGTTAAAGAAAATACACGTATATAAATTTAATGGAATAAAGTATCTGGATTCTTCTTTCTTGAAATTTGGAGGAGAAGACAATAATGTTTGGGGAAAATTGTGGTTTAAGCATGATCTATAGCTAGATCTCATTCACATTGGTTCAATTATGGTTTGATTATTAAATTAAATTATATTTATATTGTGATTTGTGAGATCGTATTTTGTACATAACTTATGAATAGTATATTATTTTTACGTATTTTATAGTATATGCAAAAAGATATAGATGACTGGCCGAGGTATACCCATATATATGCTTGCCTTTTAGACGAGTTATAACTTTTTTTGTTGGTGAAGAAAAAAAGTTGGTGCTTTAGTACTCATTTAAGCAAAAATGTATTCCAATGCAACTAAGCCATCTTCACATTATTGCATTGATTTGTAATGTGCTCATGATGTTTAACTAATTTGCTGATATTAGCAACTAACAATAACAATAATTCCTTTGAAATTGAATCTGTCATATATTGAGAAAAAACTATGGGACTTCCTAAGTTATATATGATATATATTGAGAAAAAAATGCCAAAAAATCTCCCATTGAAATTTGTTTAAGGGCTGAGGCTCTTGAACGAAAATATATACAACCTATCTTCAATTGTATATAATATATTTTCAGCTATATAAGTGAACATATTTTTTATTTTGAAGACTCTTTCACGTATATAAGTAAAGATATATTACACATAGATGAAGAAAAGTTGTGCCATTGAAAATAAGTTATGCATATCCTATTTCAGGTATAAAACATAAGACATTTGCACATGGCTGGAAAAGAGTTGCAGCCATTCAAGGTCCTACAAATTTCAATAGCGGATTTTTCATTTTTCAACAATTTTCCCTCTACATATATATAACTTTTGTATGCAAAATTACTATATAAAATTATAAATATAATATACTTGTTTAATTTTTTAAATCATAAACAATTTTATCAATTTTTACTATTTTTAAAATGATTAATTAATTAATTTTTTGAGATGCTGCGAATGTAAATAGAATCTACTACATTGATTATCAAAATTCCTGATCTGGCCTGTTTTATCTCCGAAGCCAATGCTGTTCTCCTTTATTTTATATCTATCCTTTTTTAAGCACATAGATTAAGGAATATTTCATTCATCTAGAATATTAATATACATGGACTAAAATATACTACTCATTTAAGAGAGAGCGAAGAGAAATTGAAATAAATAGGAAAGAAGGATGATAGGCAAGAAGTGATTATTAAATGAGTATAACTGGAAATAAAAAAAGGGGGGGTGTCAAGCCGCAGTTTTCAAAACAACAAAAGTTCTGAAACAATATACTACCTCCGGTCTTTAATATAAAACCTCGTTTGATTTTTATTTTGGTCACAATTATAAGACTTCAATCTACTTTGTCTTCTATATTTATACATTTTTTTCAAAATAGTCTCTCTAATAATAGTAGTCTTAGCTAATAAACTTGATTAGCAGGGATATTTTAGGAAAGATAATACCTATTTATTACAAATAACTAACTTAACTTATTTTCTTAATCTTTTTAAATTAATCAACTAGCTTTTATAAGTAGCACTCCAAGTAGTATATGAAATCTAAAACTATATATGAAATGGAAAGATCATTGGTTGAATATCAAAAGTTTGGAATTTATATCTTGAAAGGTCCGCCACGTGGACATTGCACAATAAAAAGTCGTTGTAATTATTATCATGGCTCCGCAAAAAATTGTTGTTCCTTTATGATGCGATGATATACTAGTTTATTTTTAATATAAGAACTAATTTAATATTTAATTTGGTTCTACATATAAAACTCCAATACATTTTATCTTTTATATTTATCTATTTTTCTCAATATGATTCTCACAGTAATTGCATATATTAAAAGTTTCATTAAATAGTTTTAACTAATACACATAATTAGTAACAGTATTTAAGGAAATACAACATCTATTTATTATAAATAATTAACTTAAATAATTTTTTTAATCTATTTAAATTATTCAGCTAGTTTTCATATCAAAAACTGAAAGCAGTATTTCCTATTGATCTAAAATAACTTGATGGCTTCACTTGCAACATCATTGCAATTTGCAATAATAACATTGAACAAAAAAGTTTGGTCTAGATCACTATGCTTCCTCCAAGCTTGCTTTGCTTGTAAATCTGGTTTCAACAAAAAATTAACAAAGGCAAAGAAGTAATCGAATACTGAAGGAACAAACAATAGCACAATAGCCTCCCTCCCATCTTCAATTTAAATCTATAATTTTTCTTCAGAATTGAGTAGATTTAATTTTGAGACTTTTTGAGCCGAATGGTATAAATAGTAATATTAATTACCAAGATACTACAATATAAAAATTATTTATCAAGATAATATATTCAAAATCGTTCAAGACAAGTGCCATTTTAAAAATACATAGAACTCTTTCTTTGCAAAAGCAAGCTCTGCACCTTTTTTTTCAAATAATTTTTTTTAAAAAATGGTGGTAGGAATAGCTCGCCACCTGCCCCTATGGCTCGGCCTGCACCTTTTATGCGGCCCATCCCACTCTTTCTCAAACATTTTCCTTCCCCGCTTACTTTTTCCCAGGTCCTCCCGTTACGTCATACACACATATTTTTAATATAAAATTTTGTTGGCTAATTTTAAAAAAATTAAAAGTTTTACCAAGTTATATAATTATAACATATGTTATATAATCCTTTTGAAATACTTATACGGATCATTAGGTTATATATCAACTTGTAAGTAATATAAGTTAGTTTGAAGAAAAACAATAAATTAGTTTGAAAAAAATTTAGTACTAAATATAATGAAAATTAAATTTATTATAAACTTTGTGAAATTTTAAAATTTTAGATTGTTACTACCTCTCGTTCTTAATTTTAATATAAGATCCAAGTTCAACTAACTAATTTAAAAAGATTAAGAAGTTATTAAATTATTTAACTATAGCATATGTTACATAATGCTTCTAAAATACTTATGTGGATCATTAAGTTATATATTATCTTGTAAGTGGGATAAATTAGTTTAAAAAATGATAAATGTAAATAGTTTAGAGTAATTTACTAAATTAGTCAATTGAGTCTTATATTAAGAATTATAGGTATTAATTAATTAATTTAATTTTAGTTTTTAAATATATCACATTATATATAAATTAATATTATATTAATTTGCTCTGTGTATATATGTGTACGCGGGAGGATGAGGGAAAAAGCGAGGAGGGAAGGAAAATGTTTGAGGAGAGTGGGATGGGACGCAGAAAAAGAGCGAGCCAAGCCATAAAGGGAGTAGGTGACAGGTTATTACTGTAAAAAAATTATTTTAAAAAAATAAAGGTGCAGAACTCGGCGTTGGCAAGACAGAGTTGTGCATTTTTAAAATCGTATTTGCTTTGAACAATTTTAGATGCATATCCTGATAAATAATTTTTATAATATAATATCTTGACGATTAATATTATTGTTTATACCATTGGATTAGTAATAAAAAACTAATTTTGCACTCTATAAAATAAATATAAATATGTAAGAGAGATTTTATTTTTTATAAAGTGTAAAAGTGAATTGACAAAAAAAAAACTCCCGAGATGTATCTTTCGAGTTACAAGAGGGCCGGCTCAAACCTGCAACACACACCAATACTACTCGGACTAGTGGCCAGTGGTACTCCTAAGATGTATCTAAATAGGCTCTTAAGTGCCCACAAGTGCTCATTATTGGGCTTGGTAGAGTTGCAGATTATTTTCCCTTAACGAGGTTTAGACAATCTTTTAGAAAGTGAAAGGAGCCGAAGTTTCTTAGAGATGCAGAGAAAGATACAATTTGTATTTCTTGAAGTCACAGTTTGTAAGGAAAATCACTAGCTGTATGTTCGGATGGAAAGAAATATAGGTGCATGTAATGAAAAATTAAGGGGGGAAAATATTTTCCGGTTTGGATAACATGAAAAGATACCATAAAAAATTAAGTCTAACAAAATGGGTTAATTCCTTATAATGTGGTGAACCAATATTTAGATCATCACTAAGAGAATGCTCACATTTAATGTCCAATAATATCTCAAATATAATTATCCAAATAAGAGAATATCTGTGCTTAACAAAAAACAAAAAACATGAGAAGTTTTTTTTTTAAAAAAGGCTAGAGGCAAAACAGAGAATGTTCTCTCCCAACTTCCCGTCTCCAAATCTGATGTTGGGGGATAACACATACTTTTTCAAAAACTGTCAAAAATGAGAGGAAAATGGCATTAGAGCCATATCTTTCAAATGAATATTACTATCATTCAAAAAAAAAAGTTAGTTATTTTATTTCTTTTATGGAGTTCACATTTTCTTTTTCATTTTTCTTTTCTTTCCATTTGCTCACTTCAGGTGGCCAATAAGGCCAAAACGGAGAATGCGAAGAGATGGGTGGAGGAGGGGAGCCAAATCCGGCTTTTCAGGACCGGAGAATGACACTTCGGAACCAAAAGAATAGATTAACTTTAAGAAAGAATTAAAGTATTCTTTTCTTTCTCCGATATTCTATATTAAATTTTTGGAAGATCATTTTCAGATCATTCTCTATACTTGTTACAAATTCTGGAATATAAACGTCTAATCTATGTAAATCAATGAATGAATTAACTTATTTTTAGTCTTTCAATGCAAATTTCAAAAGCAAAAACTTAATTCTATCACATTATGAGGAATTAACAGTTGTCTAACGAAAATTAAGCACCTTTGGCCCTTGACACGTGCATAGACAGATTCAGTCAACTTCTGCCTCAATCTTTATGGTACTATAAGGAGCCGCAGTGAAACAGAATTATCAAGGCATAAAACCACCCAACTGTGGCAGATGAAAGACTAAAGGGGGAAAAAGGGTGAAGATATGTAAGATTGGATTGCTCATAGCAGAGTTTCAACATTTTTCACCTTGTTCATGAACCCTAGGTTTTGATGATGTTCATTAGTCAAACATCAGCCTCTAATGCTATTTGGCAGCTGCGGGGAAGACCACTATCAGTATTCAGTAGGTTCTTTAAGCTCTAAACATTGATTTCCTGACCAATATATACTTTGGAGATGTAGAATAACTTCAACTTTAGTACAGCAGTACTTGCTGCTCATCAAAACTTAGCTGCACAGTAAATCATGGGCTTTTTTTCTTTCAAAACCTCTATTAATACCCAAGAATATGACGAATCAAAGACCACTCAGTTACACAAGAAAAACAAAGCAAGAAACAGCATAATTTCAAGATTTGAAAATAAAGCTTTTTTTTTTGGGGGGGGGGGTTTAAGAACTGAAACCTCCCTGTAAAACCGAAATTGGTGGCTATCTTCTAAAAACTAATTTTAAGGCTCCTCATAAAGCATCTTTGAGTGCTAAGAACAGAGCCGAACTTGTAATAAATGCAAGAAAATCAAATTAGTCGATTCTGCTGTTGTTGAATGATCAAAATAATTTAGATGTATCTTTATATCAATACAACCTCCATATCCCAACTCCATTCCGCTGTCTGATCATCTTATTCAACCGCTCAGTCTTTTCATTCAAGTCAGCACATCATATATCCTACAGCGCCCTTCATGCTCTCCCTATGTCATATTCTCTAAGTTTCTCATAGGCTTTTATTGATCTGGTGCGTTCAGACTTATCAAGCTCTTGGTCATGTCCGTGTTATTCCACACATCAAGGAGGCAGCATCATTGACTGATCCTCTCGTTTGCTATTACCACTACCTGCTGCCATCCTGTACTTTGATCAGGATTTCCCTCCCTATTTTCAGATGGAAATTGGCAAAAATGTAACTGAGTTGTTAGCTTAGTTCATTTCTTCCTTTTCGTTTTCTCCCAGTTTAGATGTTCTTAAACTTGAATTTAGCCATAAAAAATTCCCTCACCAGTTAAATGTTTTAGACAATAGTACATCCATTAATCAAGCCAAACTGATTCAATTTCAAAACACTCTGGCTCTCTGATTTTCCTCTTTGGTATTGAACAAAATATTAATAGGGCTCCAGGGGGAAGCATCAACTTTCCTTAGCTACCACAACAGTCATCTGATGTGGAATTAAAGCATTTCATACTACTCATAGCACCAGTAATGAAGAGTTAATGTCGTAGTGGCTCAAGTCTATGTCACTTCATTTGACCTTCTCAATGGTCAAAACCCTCCCTCTGCAAGTAGCCACCTCAATGTCCTAAGGACAACCAACTCTTCTACCAAGTAATACGACCCAAGGAGGCATGAGTAACCCTTAAAAATGCGTTGCCAGTGGAAAAGAATATCTCCTCAAGTACCACACCAAGCACCTCATATCACTCGATGTGAAACTTAAGCATCCCATACTACCCAGTCCCTAACAAATATGCAATCAAACCAAAACACTACTTTCCCATACCAACAGAGTGCAATAAGGTCCTCTGCCTTATTTGTAATTTCTCAATTTATCAACATTTCAATGCCATCAACACCTCTCAAATTCTACGAGGGAAACATTGTAACCAAGGATCATTATACTGCATTAAAAAGTAAAGGCCACAAAACAAAAAGTTAAAAACTCAACATTAACACATTCCTGTTATCCTTACCTGCTCTTTTAATTAACAGAAGCAAAATTTACTCTTCATGAACCATGTCTAAACAGCTACAAAACCTCAACCATTTTTAACTACATTAATGTAAGGAAGGTCTCCTTCCTCACCAGCCATTCTATCGCTATTACATACTACTTTACCTTCCAATCATCATAAATATTAAATAATGCAGGATCCAAGACCCAGGAATTATAATATTTAAACTTAATTTACTAGACAACCTACTGCCGTTTACGCTTCATTAAACATACTACTCTGAGTCACATCTATACAACATTGCATACATTAGAAAAGCTTCTGTCCAGTGTCATTATGGCTTCTTCTCTTTTCTTTGGGGGGGGGGGGGGGAACAAAGATCATATTATTAAAAAATAAAAGAAGCAGAGAGACGGAGGACAAAGAACATTTCTATAACAAGAATACAAGATATAAAACAAATTCTCTACAGCAAAATTGGCCATGGCTCCTTTTAGGGAGCCCCTTTGGACTACGGAGTGGAAGTGAAACTTTAATTTATTGATGAGGTGCTTCAGTTCAGTCATTTTTTGCACTGGGGCCTTTGTCAAGTAGAATATCTATCCCACTATGTATTTCTTTCCTATTCAATCAAATTTCTTTTAATATATTGAAAGAATCTTTAAAAAATGCAGCATGTATAAAGTTGGGTTTTGAAAATTCAGCAAATGCACTTTGTTGCTTACGATCATATTCCATGAGTAGCGTATTTCAAATAACAGGCCTCTTAAATAAACTCTTACTCCTACTTAAAAAGGGGGAAAACTTATGGATAGATTTGTCCAAGACTATAAATCTATAACAATTGATCCCAAGATTTGTCTAAAGTCAATAGTCCCTTGCTAATCCGACTTTATGATAAGAAGTATGTAAATGTGAATGCTTATTGAATCAATAAATCTACATACAACCTAACAAACCATAGTTTTTTTAAAAAAACAATAAATAACAACACAAAACTCAAAAGAAAATCTGAGAAAAATCACACCAGCAAAGCAAGCAGAGCCTTGACATTTACTTATTGCGTAAGTTGTATGATGTAGTCAAAGAACCAGCAGAAGGAAGAATTGATTTTCTAAAGAACAAAAATTATATATATCATCATATACCGATCCCTTTTTGAATTAACAGATACAAAGAAAGCCAAATCTACAAACAATAGGTCTACTTCAGAACAATCGCTAACAACCCCTGAAACCAAAATTGTTAAACGTGTTTAAGTCTGCATAAGAACAAGAGGCCTGCGTCATGTCCTGCTTAACAAATTTTGACCTCAAATCCAACGTTCTCGAAGTACTTACCAATTTATGCAATATTGGCAAGAAGAACTGACTTTACGTGACCAAACAATTTGGATACTGAACCCAACAACGAAGGATTCCGGTCTACTGAGATACCTTCATCAGACATGAACCATGTGGCCCCAGCTACCTCCCATAATGGGGATTGCGGGCAGCCATATTGGCAACCTGAGCCTGCAATTGAGCAGCTCTAACTTTTGAGGCAGTAGCACGTTGGAAGAACTGTTCTCTTGAAAGCACCCTCACACTCCTTAGGTATTGATCAAATGGTATGGCACCCGTTTGAACAGCCTTATCCAGAGAATAGACAGTATCTTCAATAGCCATATCAGCTGCTGTGCACTCAAGCATTTGCTTAGAAAGCACATCGACGCACTCAAAAGCATCATCAATGTTCTCTAAATTTCCCAACTTTTTCCCTTGGTTATCTCTCAACCATCCCTCTAGAACATCTGTATTCATCAAAATAATCTGTAATTGCTGCTCCAAAGCTTCCTTCTCCCCCTGCATTTCATTCAAGCCCTTATTAATTTGCTCCTCTCTCTGCCTCAACACGCCCTGCAAATTGAACATCCCTTCCATTTCAGCCTCCCTCGTCTTCCTTAACCCAGAAACATCATGATGTACCAACCCCACTAGCTTATTGATGGCATTCCGTTTATAAACCTCAGTTGGATCCTCCGTGTGAGGCTGCGATTGAACCCGAGCAGCTGCCCCACCACTGCCATAAGGAGAAGGCGGATAGGTCCCCGGAGGAATTGAGGGGTGAGCATACCCAGCCGTAGACCCCAAACTTGATGAAACAGCAGACGAACCGCCACTTGGATTAACCCCGAAATTCGGATTAGGGTTCGGTGACGCAGGTGGTGGCGGTGCTCTACGCTGGGAATAAAGTGGCGGGTCGCGACTAAATACAACACTCAAATTTTTTACAAGATCAACCAAATTGGAACTTGGGTATATCCAATTCTGCAAGTAAGGTACAGAAACAAGGCCAGAAGGGTTGACATGGGGATGAGGGCGCTTGATGATCATGTCTCGGGTCGGGTTCACATACACGCAAGGTGGGTGTCGAGGATAGGACTCCATAAGCCATATGATAACTGGGATATTGTATGTGACGCCTTGAAAGGTCATCGGAATAGTTCCTTCGGCTTGGAGGAGATTAACGGAGCGTCCATCATTGTGAGTAAAAGCAGCGGTTTTAGGTTCAAGAGAAGGGAAGTTTGTGGTGAGATTAACAAGGTGCTGACGGATGAGCCATTTGGTATCTTCGGTGTACGGAAGCGCCGATGGGCCACGTTGGGACAGGACGGAGCTCAAGAACTGCTGGGTGAATTGGGGATTCGCCGCCGGTTGCACCATGATAATAGGGTTTGGTGCCGTATCGATGATTGAATGAAATCGATCAAATCAAATTGAGAAGAAAACTACACAGAAGATGCGTTTGGCTTGCAAATTTGATGCGGTGGTGTTGAGGAAGCGGGAGAAGGAGAAGGAGAGGAAGACGCTGGGGATCTGCGTTAAGGGAAGCCTTCAAGGTTTGGGTTTACGCGTGAGCATGCTCACTCGGACGGAAATTTCATAATTGACTCAAATGTACGCAAGATTATATTTTATTACGCGCTCTCGCGGATTTTTATATATATTTTTTAACACTATACTCATTTTTATAATTTTTTAAAATTAATTTTATTGATATTCTCTCAATAATAATCAATTAGGAGAAAAAAACAGAAAATTAGAAATATGCGTAAAGCGTTTTAAGAAAAAATATATATCATATGAACTAATTTAACTGTCATTCTTAATCTACTCAAATTAATTAACTGGTTCTTACATTAATGATTAAAGGAGTATAATTTTTGGTCTATGAAATTTGGGACTATTTTGTTTTTCATTAATCAAATTTCAAATCCATGATTTTAGTTTTTAAAATTTAGTTTGTCATAACATATTAGTCTCTAAAGATATGATGATAGTAAGATCTACTAAAGTGTTATAAACAGTATTAAAATGTAATGTGAATTCATCAAATCACAACTAGTCGGATCTTTCATGAATAACAGAGTATTTAAAAAGTAGGTATTCACCTTAATCTTGTAAGGATAATTTTTCTCTAATCACGCTTAGTTCTTGAAGTTTAATTTAGTTTAGCCTAATCTCTTAAGTTTTAGCTATTTAATTTGTGGGTTTATATGCTTTCCGAGTTAACTATGATTCTATGAGTGACTGAGTGCAAGGATTGGTTGATTAAGTGGCTAAAATTTGAAGACCTGAGTTGGATGGATTAAACTTCCAAGACTTAATATGATTAATTTTTATAAACTAATATTTTTTTAACACAATATAAATAGTTAAATTCGGTCTTATAATTAATTAAACCAAAGGTTCAATGTTAGAAAAGTATTTATAAAGAGATATTTACTACTCATCAACCAATTCCAACCCTTTTGACAATATATATATTCATAAAAAAATTATAATATAAACACATTTATGTAATAAATATTTTCATTAATATGTATTTTATATTTATAGTTTCATGAATATATATATTATATTTATATTTATATTTTAAATATTTCCCGATCTTCATTTGAATACTTACAAATTAATTAACAGAGTGCGTATTTCTAGGTCGGCCAAATTATTTTATTAAACAAAATATAAAATAACATATGACACGTAACCCCACTTAACGCCTGTCAACGCACTAGAGATAGAGAATGGGACAACCATTACTTTGGAACCAATCACAGAATCGCATGTGGCAATTATTCCCGCAGGAGCATTCCACCCAAGTATTTCCCTCATCATGCTCGTCAATAATCAAATTTCACACAAAAACCAAATAATCAAATTTGACATTGTTTCAAATTCTCTTTCTTTTGGCCGGACATAGTTTTAAATTCATATGGAGCATAAAAAGGATGGGAAAATATTATAGAGCTGTACTATAGTAACCCAGTGTAACTGTAACAAATTATTTATTGGACTCCGACTGTCCCCCCCCCCACAAAACATCTCCTGATCATAGTTTAAATATAGGAAAAAACGCAGTTATAAATTTTAGCACGCCATGATCAAGGTGGTATTTGAATTAACTTTTTCAAAATGATTTTATGATGTATAAAGTAAATATATGAAAGCAGTTTATCTCGACTTACATGAAATTAATTACTTTTTCAAGTACTTTTAGAGTGGTACCAAAATCTTCGTTTGTATTTGTAGGCCATACTACCAAAAATATGCATCCCTTAAAGGCTCATTTGAAGTGACATAAAAGTAGCTTCTAAATCATTATTTATGGAATGTGAGTTAAGTTTGTGAGAAAAATTTTGTTTCTCAATTTACGTAAAAATACTCAAGAACTTATAAATCACAGATACAAGCGAAACCTAAGAGGTCTGGAGCGTCATCTTAGCTAAGCACAAAAAAGGAAAATCAACCTCTTCTCAAACTATGTATAATTTCTCTTCTGTTTGGATCTCCACTGTAAGAATTTCTTTGGCATCGGAGATGAACAGACCCAAGATGCATACCTCATATTCCACTGTCTACTTACAACCCTTAGTGATTGGACCACCCAAAACAGCAATGTCATTTATCCATAGAAAGATTCAAATGGAAATCATTTGTGTTGCTGAGGAATTTTCTCAGTTCGGCCTAGGATTAACTCTTAAAGGTCCAATAATCATATTTTCTGGCAGACAAATAACAGCATATGATTAACTACTCTTTCTCAGGATTTAAATTAGTTTCAGCACATCGCTCTATTTTGTACAAGTTTTTGTCTGCCAGAAAGAGTAGTTAAGCATATCCCGAGAGTGGGCGAACCTACCCGTTATTTAAAAAAAAATGGAATGTTTATTGGGGTGCATGAGGGCACGTGAGGGGCTATTTTTGAGCCCTGTTTGATCTGAAATATTTCTAAAATCATGAGCTATAAATTAATATATTATGTGTCGATTTTTTATGACTTTTTGGGTGCGAAAAATAGCAAATAAATGTTTTGAATGTTTATTTTTATATTTTTCTTAACTTCTTCTTTTTGGGTTTAGGAAATGGCCAACTCAAACTCAAATTCTAACCACTCTTTTGGAAAATATCCAACTTATTCTCCTCTTTCTGATGCTCCAAAATCTTCAAATTATTATGCTGAAGAAAGTACAAATAAAAGAAAAGCGCCTCAATCACAGGTAAACTCTAATGTACCTGAGGGGAGCAGTGGTAAAAGGAAATGTGTTCCTAACCAACAAGAGAAAGAAGTCTGCAGACCCAAGGACATAAATTTAATAGAACAAATAGCAGAAAAGCATGCTGATGAATACAAGCATCAAAAGTGTCTATTTTCAAAATTGAGTTATTATGCTAAACAAATTGTCAATGAGCAAGACGCACTCTTTTTCTCAAACATTGCAATCCAATACAGAGAGGAACTGGCAAGAAGAGGACACATTTTTAGTGAAGGATTTTTTAAACAAAGTCTTTGTAGATGCTGGAAAAGATGTTAAAGAGAGTTTGAGAGAACCCATGATAAAATATATCATGAACGAATGAGTTTTTGTTCACATTTATTTTTCCTTTTCATTTAATGTTTACTCTTGAGACTTTATTTTTGGGATTATCCAAATTTTTGTAAACATTTATGCTTCAATAAATAAAGTTTTCTTTTTATTTTAAAATGCTTTATTTGAGTGGGAGTTTCATGAGGAAAACTCAAATTGGAGATATGTTCAAGGAAAGTCAGAGATAAGAAAGGTAAGAGACTTACTAGGAGTAATGGGATAGGAGCCAACCTAGTTGTCTCCTGATCATGAAAATGGTGAGACTCTTACCCGGACGACCTGTGACCTACTTGAATAAAGTGTATGTTGCATACCGTACTAAAATGCATTGTTGTCTATGTGATAGCACGATGTCTCAAAGAGGAATCAAGTCCATTATAGCTGACCTCATAGGAGGTGACAAGCTGAACGGAGACAATTACAGCATGTGGCGTCGTAAGATATCATATGTCCTCGAAGAACAAGAAGTCACTGATGTGTTGACTACTTTTCTTCAAGAACCTGAGGCGAACGCATCGCGAAGGGACTAGGACGGCTACACAGCATGGAAAAGAAGGGACACTATCGCCAGAATTACTATGCTGAGTGCCATGACTGACGATGTCTTGGTGCAATTCGAAACACACCCTTTAGCCTCTGCCATGTGGGCAGCACTGAAATCCGAATTTGACGGTACCTCTGCTGCAAGGCTTAGGAGACTCACCGTGAAACTTGACAATTTCAAGCTGGGTCCTAACACTCCCATAAGGCATCACCTGAGGGCAATGCAGAACTTAATCAAGGAGTTTAAGGAAGCTGGAGGCGCCTTATCTGATGAGCAACAGATTCAAGCTATCATGAGATCTCTCCCAGGAAGTTGGGATACCATGAAGCACACCATTACTCATAACGAGAGTATAAAAACCTTTGCTGATGTAGCTCGCCACCTCCAACTGGAGGATGATCGGATGGAAACTGTGAAGCCTATCAGTAAGGCATATTTAACTGAAGGAAAGGGAGGGGCAACCTCCCAAAACCAGTCCAAGAGAAGCAAAGGCTCTCAAAATAAGAAAGGCGGCCCTAAAGTAAAGAAGGGAAAGAGTTCCTTCAAGAAAGGCAAGAAACCTGCAAAGAAGCGGAACATAGCAACCATCAAATGCTATGCTTGCCAACAAAAGGGACATTATGCCAAGGACTGCCTTGAGCAGAAAAAGGTATTGGATTCAGATTCAATACATTTCTCTTATGTTTCTAGCACTGCGTTTATTGTTGAAACTAATCCTGTTTGGGTTATAGACTCAGGGGCCACAGACCACGTGAGCAAGGATCGTGGTAACTTCACAGAATTTTGTCAGTTACCAGCAAGAAGCAGATGGCTTTATGTTGGGAACAACGCGAGAGTAGAAGTCAAAGGGATCGGTACTTGTGAGCTGACCCTGCATGGAGGAATGACCCTAGTCCTGCAAAATGTCCTCTACGCTCCGAAAATCCGACGAAATCTTGTGTCTGTTATTTCCTTAGTTAAATTTCATTTCAAAGTCTTTTTTCATGATTTCACAGTAGACATTTCGTATGGGACCAACTTTTCAGTTTCTGGTTATGTTTCGGATGGTTTCTTTGTTTTAGAAAATTTCAATGATAATTTTTCTAGTTCTTGCTATGCACTTTCTTCTGATGTCAATTACGATATATGGCACGCTAGATTAGGACATATTGGTCAAGAACGCATGACCAAACTGGCAAAAGAGGGTTTGCTAGGAAACGTGTCCAAAAAGGAAATGTCTCTGTGTGAACATTGCCTTGCTGGCAAGAGCACAAGGAAGCCTTTCGAAAAGGCAACCAGGGCTAACCATCCTCTTGAATTGGTACACTCTGATATTTGCGGACCAATGAGTGTTAGGGCATGTCATGGAGCATGGTATTTTATTACCTTCATCGATGATTCTTCCCGATATGGCTATACTTACCTGACTTCCCACAAATCTGAGGCATTAGAGTGCTTTAGAAAATATCTCA